GGTTAAGATTTGCCAGTGAATTTTCATTTTGAAATTCCCGGTTGATATCTTTAAAATTTCCCGGTTGATAATATGCAACAACAAACAAAATTGCACGCATTTTTTAAAACACGGCCAACTGTAAATTTTTGGAGGTAATTTGTGGGAACAATAAAAGCCAAATTACAGAAAGTATTTTTTTTTAAGAAAAACGCAGTGGGCTCTGCCCGCGAACGGTTGGTTTTGTTTTCGCTGGCGCTGATTCCATCTGTTTTTCGCATATTTTTTTAATTGTACCAAATCAAATAAATATTAGTTTTCGCGTGTGGATAAGTGTAAATTAAGATTTATCACGTCTTAAGAAGTTTTTCTAGTGATATTGTAATTAACGTGAAAAATCAGGGACAAGAATTTGTTTCGAAAAGCTGTGTTGCTGTGGTGTCGCGTCGGTTGGTTTTTCATTTCGTTTGTTTTGGGTGCTTTGCCTCCCTCCCAAGAAGAGTTTTACCGGGTATTTTTTTTTCTTTTCTTGGTGCTGGCGTTCTGCCTTCCGGAGGATGCACGCGAATAAGGTGTCAAGCAAAAATTCGGTGCAAATGAAAAACTTCGAATGTGCTTCAAAATGTCGTGTTGGGTTGTAATAACAACGCGGAAGATTTTTTCGATTACCACGAGTGAACAAACCGGTCCTTTTTTGGAGGCAGAATTTGGTGAGATCCATCTGATTTAAAATCAATCATAAATGCATATTTCCATATATTACTAAATACGCGCCAGATTTCGAAACATCACGTTTCGAAATCTGGAAGTGTGTTTGCAGTACCATTATTCATATGATAACGGTAGTGTTTACATGCGGGGCTTATTGTATGTGAAAGTAACCTCGGAATGGACGTGAATTACCAGGCATTCTGAAATGGGTTGCTGAATCTGCAGTAGAGCTATCGCTTTCTAACTCCCGGATTAAACTTGCTTCAAATTATAACATCAAGGATTGTTGTAAGCAAATTTCTTCCATAATACCACTGCCGGCCAGTGGGGGTTAGATTGAATACACACACACATACAATTACAGAAAGTATTTTTTAAAGCTGTATTCCAAACATATAATGTATTCAAAATCATTGGTCTTTCGAGATATTTTGAAAAATGAATTTCTATCACATTTTTATGCTCGATACATCTTATGATTTCAAAGCCCTAGCATTTATTGAGTAACAGAGATTTAGGTCACTAGACCAAAAGCTATATGGATGAATAGGTTATAAGACAGAATTGTGAACAATTTTACCGGCAAGCGCTTCCAATTTTTTTTTTTTTAATTTTAAAATTGAACATATTTTTAGTTCTGTCGCGAACGTTTCAGCTCAATTGATCTTAAGAGAACAAAGTTACAACTTGTAAAAGTTGACCATTTTGTATGGAAATCGACATGCGCTGCTATTATATTGAACACACTGCCCATAATCGCAAATCAGTCTCATCTGTAAAAAACTGGAAATGAGAAAACGGTGTTCAAAAATTTTTCAAGTTTTCTGATTTGACACTTATTTTGGAGGGATAAATTTAAAAATGAACGTACAATGTGATAGAGTGCATATATGTTTACCCAAAAGTATTGGAAAAATATCGTGAAATTTTTATTTCATGGCCAAAATCTGAGTGGGACTGACTTGCGATTACATTTAACGTCAATGAGAAAAATAACCGCAAGTCAGTCACAATTCCATGACGATGCTGCATTAGTTTAGCACAGAATTGAACAGTAGAAAGATACCATAGAACGTTATTGAATGATTCTGAATTTGTTCCGCTGGTTCCAGAGCAATGGCCGGAATATATTCCGGAGAGTTTGGTAGACCAGAACCAAACGTGCCAAACCCACCATGCGATAAATCAATTCACATGAGAATTCAAAAATAAGATCAATAAGAGTCAGGATGAGTGACCAGCACCATGTTGGCCACACCCAGACATGTTCCGGGTATCCCCGGGGAAGTGGTAAATCCTTTTTAATTAAAATCCATCAAGCGATACATTAAATCACATGATAATTCAAAGCCATTGGCGGTCAAACTGAGTATCGTAAGAACTATATTGGCCACATCCGGACATGTTCCAGATACCCTAGGGGAAGTGGACAAAATCTGTCTTGACACAAATCTCATGATGCGAAGTGTTGTTTATCATTTCTTATATATTTTTTTTTCTAATGGGACTGACTTGCGGTTACTTTTCGCTGTGGGACAATTTGACTTGGCATTGTTTTTCATTTTCTTGAACAAACCACATTTTTTCAATAGCACATCTCAAAAAACATAGAATGATAAACTGAATAAAGATGCTAACTCAAAATTGATAATAATGCAGATGGGACTGACTTACGATTACCGGCAGCACAGGCGTACGTAGACGCCTCTATAAATAACAAATCTCATCCTTTTACAGTTGTCAGATAATTTAATTAGAACAAAATGTGATAAAAAGTATGTTGACCATAGTTAATAGTCGGAATGACATTTATTTTATGTGTTTCATGTGTACATCCAATTCAAATTTAACGAAAACTGTCACTGAATAGGTTAAACTTACGATTGCTCAGAATTTGTGAAATATTATTGTCAATTTCCCAAAGTTGGAAACGCGGGACGAAAAATGACAAATGTACAAACACTTTGTTCTAAGAAATTCATATTTATTTTAGTTGATGTTTATCAACTTTAAATAAAGCTGAAATACAAAATAGTGATTAACAATTTCGTAAACATTACATGCTGATTCAAATATATTGTTTATTATCTTTTCTATGTTGCTTATAGCTTGCCGAAGAAAGCATTAAACTAAGTAGTCAAATAAAAAAGTTGGGACTGAAAGTGTGTGTCCGTTTTATAACTAGAACAGTCCTTACTCAATTATTATGTTTAGCACCAGTGATTCATCGCTCTTTTGTGGCTATTTCATTACTTTTTATTATATAATGCTAACGTTAAATCCAGTAGAATTTTCAGTTAAACAAATGTAAAATAATTATTATAATGCTATTAATCTCCCTATCAAAATTCATCAAGCGTCACACTCTGTATTTTCACTGAAGGTACACCCGAGTGCTCACAAGTGCACCTTCAGTAAAATATATATATATATCAATATTTTGCTCACCAAAATGCGAAATCCAATCGGATGGCAGTTTTACGGCTGTAAATTAAAGAATAATACTAAATAATTGCCTTCAATTCGTATCATTAAAGAATATTGACAAATAGCTCGGAAACCATCAACTGGCCATGCGTTCTAGGAAAATGTTACACAAAATAAATAAATAAAAAAAAATCGAAAATTACGCTCAGATGGATTACATGGAGATGTGGGGCATATTCAACACACCTGATCGAAAAAAAATGTGACATTCGTCGTTGTTTTTTGATTGAAACAAAACGTTTTGTGTTTTCTATAAGTTTTTACCCCTTCATATAATGAAGCATTTGTATCGTCCAATACCGTGGTAGAAATAAGCCTTTGTTTACGTAATTGTAATTTATTTAGTTTACTATACCCTGTTGGTTGTACCCTTTGTCAGGAAGGCTGAAAATCTCTCTAAGCAAAAAAAAACCCTTTGTCAGGTCAAGGAAAGTTTGCCCTTATGAATGTTCACCGTCGAATTCTTCAATGCAATCGATGTAAATATTTACATAATTTGACAAATCGCTGGTAATCACTATATTTTTATCCTGGGGAATAGAAGTAAACGCAAATTAACAGCATCATCGGAAAGGAGAAACTTTTCCCAACCCGACGATGGTGTTGGTTTGCGTAGGCGAGCCTTGACTCACGAGAAAAGGGTTTCCGAAGTTTTGTTTGCAAAAGCTGATGTGTTCTTTTCTGTTGTTGGTCGTGAAATGCTCGATTAGTTCCCGCGATTCTATAGCGACTATAATCATGACAACAGTAGGTCTCTTCTTCATTCAATAATCAAACGTGGGTTTTTGTATTGTATTGTAGTTTATACAATCCTGGTGGATGAACCCTTTATCAGGACAAGGAAGTAAGCATGGTTTTGTCAAATAAGGTAAATATTTACATGGCTGTATTAAAAAATTGTGCAAAAAATGTAACAAAAAAAAAACAAAAATATTTTATTCAGTTGTTGAACTTTTGATGCGCAGAATACCTATGACATCATTCAATAATCCTGAAACGATCTTGCCTCTCTGGTGGATCATCGTGCAGCGTGCGATCAACTTAGTACCCTACTTAAACGGTGGTGGTGTGCATACCATACACGCCTCGTCTGTTCCATAAAATCTGGATAAAGCATTCCTGCTCTTTCCTGTGCGTCTTTACCACACTACATTACCACCCTCATATGTAGGCTTGTATCAACCCGACCAGGCTTCTAACCTTGGTGGCTGCCTTTCGATCATCGTTCTCCGTATAGCATACACCGCACATCATACTAATTTTTCCTTAAACTTCTAAATTGGAGTGGACTCGCTGCTAACATACCATACACACTGCCTACGGGGCATATTTTTATGCGTGTGTAACTCTAGAAAGCACTACTAGTACACTCAAATTCACACCACTAGCAAACCTTCGGTACTCAGCTAAACTTCACTCGGCACAAACACATTCATCGAAGAAGCGAATCTCATTACAGAGAAATACAATAAATGGCTGGTTTTCCGAAAATGAACAAAGCCAGCATAAAACAAAATGGCGGACGTTCATTATCCAGAATACTCAATTCCAAATTTTCCACTGCGATACTTAATCCTTCGAATGAGAAGTACAACCAATTGTATCCATTTTCGTAAAAAACAAACAACTTTCCATTATTATTTTCACCGAAAATTGTACGCCAATGCTTGAAAACAAGCGGACGCCCTGTTTGACGCAGTCATCCACATTTTTTCACTTCGCTTTGCCACCATAAAATTCAAGAACACTAATATCCAATGCCACTTCTCACGGATCATCATTTATGATTCCACATAAACCATAAAAAACACTTATTTGCTTACCTTATTTAGCACAGTCTTCATTTAATATCACAAACTTAATACTAAACTTCACTTGAAATTCCTTGCTATTTTCACAATGGCGTCCGGTTTGTTCTCTTCTCAAACTCACTTTGAGGAAGCAATGACGACGACCGACTTGAAGAACCCACGGCAGAGCAAACTCTGTGCAATAATATACATGGTGAGGCAAACCAGGGCTTAAATGTGTGTATTTGTTGTTGAAAAGCAAATGAAACATTTCACCATATTTTGATAACAGATGTCACCACTACATGGTGTGAAGCTATACGCACGGTAAGAAAAAAGTCCCCAACGACCAGTTTACTTTTACCTACCTAGTTAGTCTCCTTTTCCACAGAGAACAGACGTCCAACTTCTGTCAGAAACTTGTGTAAAGATAAGTGGAATCGTCGCCGTTACGTAGCGCTAGCTTCTCCTGATTTCCTCTATAAATTGATCACAGCCCCTCGGCTGATTATTCATAAAATGTATTAAGCGAACCCCATACGTATCGTATCGTATCGTAATTTATTATATTGATGATGTGAATACACACTCATAGAATTCCACACATTTTTATTGACGAATTTCCATGTATAATTCCACATGATTTTCATGTGACCACACATAAACAGAATCCTCCTAGAAGCGCACATGAAATTTATGAGTCAAATGTATAGTATGTGTGGCTTTTATGTGTACACATATTAAGTATGTGCTTGACACATAGATATCATGTGTTGATCACATTGCAAAAAATCATGTGTGGGACACATAAAAACAATCTTTGAAATTTTATCAGTGCATAATTATTGATAACATTCCATATCGAACCACAAACGAAGTGTCACACGACTGGCGAAGAAATCAATTAAAATGTTGTGGTTTGCTGTAATAGAATTTTCTTAGAAGCTTGTGCCATCATCCACCAGATGGGATAGTATTTTTGTTTTGGTTTTGCACAAAGTTGATTTAGGGTACAATGATTCTTTGACAGTGTGCAAAGAGTGTATATTATTTTGTCATTTTTTTATGCATTCCAGTTTTGAGTAGAGTGAAAGAGATAGAACCAAAACATTCTAGTAAATTTGGTGAAAATGCTAGTTCAATCCAGTAGTAGCACAAACGAAGTGACAGACGGAGCGGCTCGAAAACTTTGGTGACTAATTTTCAGTGTACCACATGGCAACACCACTACTACTGGATTGTACCACATGGGAACACTACTACTGGATTGTACTAGCATTTTCACCAAATGTATTAGAATGTTTTGGTTCTATCTCTTTCACTCTACTCAAAACTGAAATGCATAAAAAAATGACAAAATGATACACTCTTTGCACACTGTCAAAGAATCATTGTACACAAAATCAATTTTTTTCAAATCAAAACAAAAAAACTAACCCATCTGGTGGATGATGGCACAAGCTTCCAAGTAAATTCTATTACAGTGAACCACATTATTTTAATGGATTTCCTTGCCAGTTAGTCGTCTGTCACTTCGCTTAAAGTAGGAAGTACCGTATGTTATCTCTTTTTCTCTAACGAAAATTTAAAGGGAGAGCCTGTTGTCAAACAGCATGTCATTATGACGTTTAGTTGTTATCTGCTTTTTTTTTGTATAACAAAAGGTCATATGCCAAAATGATTAGGGGTGAACACATCGGGTTAACATTTGCTTAGAAGTAAACGATGTTGAGCTGCCAATGACTCGCGCTTGTTGTCATTGTTGCTAGATTTCTTCAGTCCGTGCTTCTAACCAAAGTTAGAGTCAACCGCGACCGAGAAGACATCGACAGAACTCCTCCGTAGCGGAACTGTTGACGGTTTTCGGGGAGTCGGAGGATGGTGATAGGAAGGAGGACCTACTGCATTTGCAGGCATTGCTGGAAACACTGAGGTACCTGATTGGAGTTTGTCGCGAGGCGGTGGATGGAATTCGATGCCGATGCCGGAAGGTGGTAAGTTTAGTTCAGCCATAACATTTGATAACGGCACAAAAGCATTTGTAAACAAACTTTCTAAGGCCCTTTACATGCGAAGCAAAGTACGCCCACGCAAACCAACATCATCGGATAGGGGCAACTATCACTTTTCCGAAAGTGGTATTGGTATTCGCGTGTAAAGGGCCTTAGAAAGTTTATTTACAAATGCTTTTGTGCCGTTATCAAATGTTATGCCTGAGTTGATTTTGGATTCTGGATTCTGTATGATAAATTTTACTTTTTCAGGATAAACTACACATATTAGTGCAATGCGCTTGCTTGCTGGAAGATTGCACATACGAAGAAGCAAACGGATCAGCAAAAGTTGATTTTGTCTGGATTGGATGTGATCTGCTCCACCACAATTCGATTGTTGCGGCATTGGTCCGAGTCTGACGAGTTGGCGATCCGGGTGAAACCAGTAGGGATCTACAACGATGTGTTCGATAACTCAACGGCGCTGCAGTTCAGGGTGGATCAGAAGCGGGCAGCGAAATTTTTCGCATCAGTGATATATAGAGAAGTTTAGCGAGATGGAAATGGCAGAATTATTCCACAAGAATTTGCCTTATTTGGAAATAATTCTTAGCTTGGGTGAGGCTTCCAAGCAGTACATATAATTAGTGAATATTCTTAGTAGGGTAAACTACCCCCTTTCCGGTCTATTAAGCAAAACACGCACTTAGTCTTTCTTAATCTAGCACAGTTTAGCATCAAACAAAATGTTATTCTTACTGATGGCTTCCAAATTTATTTACCTTTCTGTACGTACCGTAAGATTTAATAAAGAGAAATTGTTGAGATATTGTCAAAAGTCTAACACTGCTTCTTGATGCCAAATTCGGTCGGAGCGCTTCTTTTGTTTTTGTGAATTAAGGGTGCAAAGCTTCAAATCACGCATTCTCATTGACTTTGTTCGATAGCTAATTGACTAAAGTATCGTACCAAACCCATAATTGACTTGTTAACTCTGAAATCATGGATTTATTTGATGTTTTCTGCTTGATCGGACCAAAATAGATTTGTGGTTATGCTTTAAAAATTATAGAAAATGTATATAATCTATATACATCGATTCAGACTTGTAACATGAAATGTATTGCTTATACATTTTATATCTCTGCCCAATCCAAATTATGTCTGTGTAGAGATGCTATTTTTAAATAATTGGCATATGAAAACAAATGATTATTTTGTTTATTGAAATAACAATCATTTACAATAGATTTTACCATCGGTACAGTTGAATTTACTCTCGTTCTATACGTTATACATAGTTTCGAAAGTAGTGCGATGTATTCGCACAATGATGCGCACTACTTCCGAAACTATCACCTCTATTGTGTATTTCGTTCAAAACGAAATTCTCGTACAAAAAAATTTTTTTTTCAGGAATTTCGTTTTGAACGAAATACAGAATAGGGGCTAGGTAAAATTGAGTAAACATAAAAACTCAATTTTGAATAATTGGAGGTGCATTGGAGGACATTTTACTATTAAAACTAAATCGAGACATTTTTTAGATGGTATCTGCACAGAAAAACAGACATAACACTCGAAATTTGTTCATCAAACATGCTTCCGGATAAGTTAGAGCCCGTGGCGATCTAAACCATGTAACCATGGTACGTTGTACGGCGGGAATATCCCACTTCGTCTCGGTGATCTTCATGGCGAATATCGGGCCGATTGCTGACGTACACTTTCGGCGGCGAAAGCGAAGGCAGCGGTCGCAACTTACTGCTCAGCATATCCGAAGGATTTGTTGTTACGTTGGCATTCTTCTGCGAGATGAGGTTATTTTTGCGGGTGCTCCGCTTCATTCACAGCATGTAGTGCTTTACGTATTTCGATAACCAGTCCTTCATTTCTTCGGTGGTGATGTCATCGGTATCGTCCTCCCTGGGTCGTTGCTGCTGCTGCTGGTGTAGTTTTGGCGTTCCACTTAGCTTGTTTTCCATGAAAACCTCCCCGTTGCGGATTGTAGTGCGATAGTAAGGAACTCAAGGAGGAGGGACGCCACTTCCCTTAAAAATGCTAGGTTTTTTTTCTTCAGGAAACACAAATCTCCCTCAGGATTTCTGGAAATTAAAACATTGCTTTCGAAAGTGGCTACTCAGATCAACTTTTCTCTAAATCAAAAAAGAAAAATCTCGATTCTCAGAAGCCATTTTGGAATTTCTCAGAATAATTATTCTGCATTCTGCTCCACACAATTTTATTTTTATCCCCAGGAAATAAATATTGTAATAATAAAAGTATTTATTAAATACTCACCGAATAATACCTTATAATCACTTTTTTTATAATTTTTTTTTCCTGAAATTAATATTTTCTTATCGGAAGGAACGCGAAACACATACGCGCTGCGAGACGAGCCGATGGAGAATCGCAAGTGCTGTGATCAATGTGATTGATGAGGCAGCAGGAAACAAGTCAGCTCTTTCATTATCACAACGTTCTTATGCATAATCTAGTGTGACGTAACGTTGAATCATGCGTAAGAACGAAAGAGTCGTTCGAAAGTACATTCCTTCTGCCGCACCTATAGTAACGCACATGGCTCCCGCACTGACTATTTCTTACTTTCTCACTCTAATCAAAATTTCCTTCGATGAGTGAGAAAACAGCACCCCGTCAATGCGAGCGAGAACGCGAGTTGCCAGATCATTGCACACAAAACCAACTTGAATTAATTCAAAACAAAAATACTAGCGAACCTGGCGGTGAGGAGCGGAAGGTGGACTAGAATTCTATTACAGAGAACCACATTATTTTAATTAATTCCTTCGGAGAAAGTCGTCTGCCATAACATCTCTGATCACGCCTTCCTTCGGATGGGAAGTAAAGCCGTTGGTCCCCGGTTCATGAGTTGTTGGGTCGATAGGTAGGGTCCAGGTGTGGGAGCTGCCTTCCTGGCATGTCGGTAGCATTGGTGCTCAGCACGGAAAACAAGATCGACGGAAAAAACAAACCAAAGGAAAAAAAAGTCGTCTGTAACTTCGTTTGTGGTGCAACTGGTTGCGGTAGTAGTGGTAGATTAAAGGAGTGTGGCCATGACGGCCGCAAGTAGCGGTGACCCTGGCGGGTCTGGGAGAAGACTGCCAACGTTCATGGATCCTACGAACAAGTTCGGAGCATTAACGTATCTGCAACTGATCGGAAAAGACAATGCGCCAC